TGGGTGCAGAACAGTGCTGTGTCATTCATATTTCCTTTCCTTTGTATTTGAATGTCTTTCTCATGCTCACTTGCAGAATTTGTTGTTTCTGAACTGAATTGTTAAACTTAACCACTATGTGTCTGAGTTTGCAGCCTTCCTTTTGTTTGTTTTTTTTTTTTTTGCAGGTGATCTATGAATTTTCCAACTGGTATTTTGACTTCTGTGTTCAGAAAATTGCGGGCAATTTTCTTGGATTACTTCTTGTGATGGGGCATGGGCCCAAGCTGAGACCTTCATCCCTTGCCCCAAAAAGAATTTGGCTCCCATTTGTCTACAGGTCCCAGAAAACCCTTAAACTTTTCTTACTCTGGTATCAAATGGTTCCTTACCAACTCCCCTTATCTCTCTTTGAAAGCCCAAGCCCCACCTTTTGATCTTATTCAGATGCCTTTCCAACTTCTTCCTTCCAGTTCCTCTCATCTATTACCATTGTCTATTCAATCTCTTAGACATTCCAATTGGAATTCTCACTTAGACCCTTTTCCCAACCCCAAAGTTACTTTAGTGTATATAAGATCCATCCTGGCCCCCATTTAAACGCTGAGACTTTCTCATGCCCAAAAGGCTGAGACTTTCTCATGCCTGCTCGTCCCTATGGGCATTACTAATATTCATATTCCTTAAGAGTCTGGCCTGTAAGGTTTATCTCTAATAAACTTTTTCTCTGGCTGAAAGAAGATTTGGGTTGAATTCATTCAGACAGGGCCTGTGTGTCGTGATCTCGGGGGTCCTAGCACCCTAAACCTCTAGATCTCATCACTTGCATTATGGTATTCAGGTTTTTTGACTTGTCATGTTCTTCTGGGAGGCCTATAATCCTTAGGTTGTCTCTACACATTTTGTCTTTGAGATCAATGTTTTACTTAAATAGAGAACATATGTTCTTTTAATGTTATTGTTGTTTGCTTCTGTTCTTCTAGTATTTCACTTCTGAGTATTTGCATTCCCAAATCAGGTGTCCCCTTCTTCGTTTCTTTGGTGAGACTTGCCATCATAGATTCAAGCTTTTCTTTTCTGTCAATCATTTTTGCTGTGTGGACCATAAATTCTGCTCTCACAATTTTCCTTTCTCTTTTAAACCACTCAGGAACATGTTGTGTTTCCTTTTCTCAAAATGCACAGGGTCCTCTGTCTTATCAAGTGCTGAACCATTTTCCTTTGTTTTGCAGTGTTTATTCACAGAGGCCTGAATTCATTTACTAGATCTGGAGGCCATTATTTTCTTCTGCTGTTAATGTTTTCCCTTTTATCTGCTAATGCACAAGGTCTTTGAGTTTTCTTCCTCCTGAAATCTTTAGTAATTTCGATCTGTTCTTCCCCTTATTTTTCCATACTACACACTTTCTGATTCTCTCTCTTTTTATTAATTTATTTTGATTTATCAACAATCACTTCCATAAGCTTTTGAGTTTTATATTTTTCTCTCTCCCTCCCCAAGGTTGCATGCAATCTGATATAGGCTATACATATACATTCCTATTAAACATATTTGCACATTAGTGATGTTGTAAGTAAGAATTTGAACCAAGAGTAAGAACCACCAGAAAGAGGAAACAAAACACTACAGAAGAAAAAAAAATAGCAAATAGTATGCTTTGATCTGCATTCAAACTCCATAGTTCTTTCTTTGGATGTGGATAGCATTTTTCATCATGAGGCCTTTGGATATGTCTTAGTTTCTTGTATTGCTGAGAAGGGTTAAGTCTATCAATATTAGTCATCATACAACATGCTTCCTCAGATATTGAAAAGAGGGCTTCAGGACGAATCCTTGGCTATTTCCTAGTTCTACTTTTGCTATTGCATATTTTAACTGCTACCTGGCCCTACTCACATCATTCTGTTATCTTTCTGCTAAAACTTTCTCTTACTAGGGAAATGGAAGGGAACCCATATCTTGGTTTTGGCCATGGTGCTTTAGGCTTGTAAATTTAATAACTTTATATTTGTACTCAGTGTTCATATATTCATTGTGTCGCTGCTAGTCTCAAGCCAGGGAGGCAGGAACTTGGGTAGGTAGAATGTAGAAATGAAGGGAAGAAGAGAGAAGAAACAAAATGAGGTGATAAAATAGAGAGGTGAGAGAGGCACCTGGTGCCCAGAGAGAAAGCCCAGGGATTTCTGGCCCCAGACATTTTATTTGGAAGGAGGAAAGGTCAGAAGAGATGTTGAAGCAAAAACATAGTGAGAAAGATTTGACGCAGCATGGTTCAATGAAGACAACACTGAACTTTATCTTTATAATTTTATTATATTTATGTTATAAATATGTTATATTATTTAAATATATAATATTTGTATTATAATTAAATTTTTAGAGTGTTTTTCTTTCCATTAACATTGTCGTAGTTACTACCTATATTGTTTTCTTGGCTCTGTTTACTTTGCTGCATCAGTTCATCTAGAGCTTTCCATGTTTCTCTGTATTCATCATACCCACAATTTGATATGGCACAGCAACATTCCATTACATTCATATACCACAGTTTGTTTGGCTATTCTCCAATTGATGGGCATCTACTTTGTTTCTAATTCTTAGCTATCACAAAAAGTACTGCTATAAATATTTTGGTGCATACAAGGCCTTTTGTCTTAACAATGGCTTCCTTGGGATATAAATCCAGTAATGGAGTCTCTGGTTCAAAGGGTATAGACATTTTTGTCACTTTATTTGCATGGCATTTTGCATGCTCCACCAGTGATGTATTAGTGTGCCCATCTTTCCACAATCTCTATTTACATTTCTCTTATTAGTGATTTGGATCATTTCTCATGTGGTTGTGAATACTTCGCAGTTCTTTTGAGAACCATTTGTTCATATTCTCTGACCATGTATTTGTTGGGGAATGGATACATATATACAGATCTATATCTAGATACACACACATATCTATCTATCTATCTATCTATCTATCTATCTATCTATCTATCTATCTATCTATCTATCTATCTATGAACTGGACACCAAACCCTTATCAGAGAAATTTAAAACAACTATTCAACCACCCTATTTCAACCACTTCCTTTTTTATCCTAGATGCATTAATGTTGTTTGTGCAAATGTTGTTTGTGCACAAGCTTTTCAGTTTCAGGTTTCTCTTCTACTACAAATGCAGTATTATATTCCTTATTTATTATTATTCCTTTATTAGGCAGGCCTGTTCCCACTGGCTTTCTGCCCCTCAACCTCACATTCTCATTTGATGCTCCTTTCCCTTTAAGGTATTGTTTATTGGTTGCTTTTTCTCTCCTTTTATCTAGTTACATTTTCTTACCCTACTTTTTTCCTCTCAATCAAGTAGAGTCCCCCTTTTTTTACACCTTTAGCTATTCCTGTTCATTAGTTTTTAAAGTTTTTGTGCCCCTTTCCAAAAGGGACTTCTCTCACTCTCTTCATCATGCTTCTATTTTCTCTAGAACCTTATTTTCTGATTCATGACCCCTATAATTATCTGGTCTCTCTCTTTTCTCTGTACTCTTCATGCAGTCAAAGCTTCCATGTTATCCATTTAGGCTCTATATTATATGCACTTTTTGACACCCTATGGATTCCCCCGTTCCATTGTGCCTGACTCCCAGAAGAATGCCAATTATTGCAGGTGTTGGGGAAGAAACTGATCCATGGGAGAGCCCCTTTTTCCCCAGATCCCTAATTATGCAGCCCACCACTGATCTATAGCCTCTTGTTGATCTTTTTTTTCTACGTTTGCCTGAAAATCTCCATGCCCATGCTCTCCAACTCCTCCAGGTACCAACCTCCTGCCCCCAGGCATTTCAACTCCCCATCTCCCTTTACTGACCATCTCTTTTCACTTATAACAGGATTCATTAGTGGAATGTTCTCCCACCTCCAAAGTAAGGCCTCCTTGTTTCTCCCCTCCTTTTCAATTCTCCCCTTTCTCCTAATGTACTCCCTTGCAGGCTCTTCTCTTTCTGAGACCAAAGGTCATTTCCCCCTCATGGCTAATCCTTGATTTGACCCAAGCACATCAATCACTCCTCTCTATCCCCCTACTTTACCTCCTCATGTTGTAATGTAGTTCCACAAACATGCACTGATTCACCTGTAGGCAGAGTGTCATCAGGCTCTGTCCATGATACCCCATCTGCCTCTTCGCTGCTACCCCTACTGTCTCCTTGTGACACTCAGAAAGAAGTCTCTTACTGGTCTCTTCATTGTCACTCTGTTGCTGTTGCTGTCCTTGGCTGCTGCATTTATTTACTCATCCTGCATTTCTGTTGTTTGTGGTGTTTGAATAATCTCTTTATTTCTGGGTTTTTTTTTCTAAAAAAATGTTTCAAACTTTTTATTATTGAATGTCCATCTTTGGTCCTGTATGGCTAGATCACCCTGGGCTGCTTCCTGAACTCCACTGCTCTTTGGAACACATTATTCCACTCCCTTCTCCTTTTCCTAGTGGGTGCAGAATAGTCTTGCATTATTTGAATGTCCCTTCCTTTGCATTTGAAGGTCTTCCTCCTGATACTTGCACAACTGTTTCTGAGTTGAATTATTAAATTTAGCCATTGTGTCAGTTCTGACCATTCAAGTCAATTGGGGAAGAGATGAAGTATATGATATAAACCATGGATTCTTCCCCAACATTTTCACCTTACTGCCCCATCTTTCCTCTCTGTGCTCCTTTAGGAATCTCTTTGAAATCATATAAAATAGAGAGACTTACTGCTTTTAGCATGGATTGAATAATTTAATTCTTCTGTGAAGCTCCTTTAAGTTGAAATAATGGACCAGAATATCTCATTATTTCACCCCTGCTTCTAATCCATCTGGAAGGGGCCTAGTGTCTACACAGAGACTAAACTGGTGCTCAGGCTAGGAAAATAAGCTTTAGGAAAGCTGTATCAGTGACCTGAAGAGTTCTATGTTTGCTTTTGCTTTCAAAGCAGGCCTGTCTTCGATAAAAGCGATATATGGATAAGCCAATACTAGAATCATATAGAGGAAAACAAGCCAAATAATTTATTAACTTTAAAACTTCATATGTATATAACCATTTACCCACATTGAAAAATACCATGCACGAAGCTGAAAGGGGTGATGGGAGACCTCTCTGGTCACCACAGACTAGACATAACCAGAGGCCCCATGAATCCCCCTGCCATCCAACAGATTTCCCAGTAGTTGCCACAGAATTGGATGAGGAGGTAAGTGTTAAGAACAATCTTTGAGGAAGGGGTACAAGTGCTGCCCCTCATTCCATGACAGCTAGGGGTACTCTGAACCAGCCAACCATAGGTAGGTACTGTGTGTAAAAAGTTCTTCTGAAAAGGTACCTGGCGGAAGACTGTTTTTAATTGTTGATTTTGGGCTTTTAACACCAAGTCTTGAAATTACTTTGAAAATAATTCCTTAAAGATTTATTTGGTTCTTTTCTATCTTATAAACACTGATTACTTTTTCTTCCTAGCCCTATGGGGTAGAAAGGAAAGCAAAGTTATAACTGCATACATGCCCCTGACTTGGGCTCTCTCTGTGCCCAAATGCTTCTGTGAGATAGGACTTGAAGCTTGGTTGAGGAATGCTCCTACATAGCACCATCAGGGTGGATTCCAACTGGAAGGGATAGGATGACATGGGTGTGTGTGCAAGGGACGGAGGTAGGGAGTGAGATGGACTATTTTCTACTTTATAATTAAAAGTCCAGAAATGGTCACTTAACAACTGGGACATTCTACAGGCAGGCTTAGGTCTCAAAGCTCCAACAATTTCTTTACCTCCATATATCAATGTGTGTGTGCATGCACACATATATATATTTACTTTTTTATCAGCCTAAAATACAGATTAAAACACAAAAACCCACCATTCAATGGTAATGAACAAGTTGGATTATTCATATATACACATATGCCCTTCCCCACAAGGAATTCAACACCAACACTCACAAAATAACAAGGAACAACCAAGGGGGGCTGGCTTATGGAAAAGGACATGTAGGGGTAAAGGCACTCCTGGAAACCAAACTTTGCTCTTCCAAATGGTCCATTTATTAGCTAATAAAAGAGGCAATTAAAGCTGTAGTAACCGAGTGAAACAAGATAAGTGTTTGGTTGAGACCTTGTAATGTGGTTCTTTCAAAGACTGCCAGGTTTCCTGAATTTGGGGCTTACTGAAGAGTGTAGAAAGACCACTGAACTAAGGAGGAAGAGGGTTCATCAATTTGGTCACCTTTGTGAAAGCCCTGTCAAGCTGGGTTTTCTGGGGGGTAGACTTAGTATCCCTGTGAAGCACAGCTAATCCAGGAGAAGGGAGTTTATCCACCGCCAGTGAGCCACACGGGCTACTGAGGGCGAGGTGGCTAAGGATGCCAAAGAGGCCTACTGCTTTTACTGAAAAGAATTGGCTTTGGCTTGTTACTCATATTTCAGTTCCTTTCACATTGAAAAAATGGTCCAAATCTCCAAGACCTCGTAGAAATTCAAAACTTGCCTAGATTTCCCCTTTCCTCTCTACCCTTTCCCTCTTTGCATGCTCCCTCCCTCCTTCCCCCATTATCTATACCTAAAGAAGAATAGGACTGGTTTGGTTTCCTTCACGGAAGTGACCTTTTATTCTGCAATCGAAAGCAAGTTTTCAACCTTTCAAGTGAACAGCTACATCTAAGGATAAAGTTCCGGTGGCAGGGAGAGAGAAGAGGAAATTCTGGAGATAACTACAAATTTAGTGCACATGAAAAAATATGGAAGAAATAAAATTTTCTCTTCTCACTTCTCCAAAGCATAAAGCAATGAGACAAAGCCCGGGGGTCCAATCAGAAGGGACAAATTCACACAGAATAGCTTTGGGCTCAAACTAATAATCAAATCACTTAGGTCTGCCTAGTTCCAAAAATTTCAGATCCACAGTACAGCAGAACAGGGCAAATTTAATCCAAGAATCCAGGGAGGTCCTTACAACAAGCAGTTTTATAAATCTGGAACTATTGTCACAGTAAGACCTCTGCATAGCTGGCAAGCTTAATTTTAGCTGCCAATGCTGATCTACAGAGGCTTGATCTCAGCTCAACTTTGGGGCAGATGAAAGGCAGAGTTAGAAGTATAAGAGGTCTCTGTCTGGTACAGAGGTAAGCCTGGTAAATAGGTCCCTAGGATACCTGGTAGGGATTCAAGTCCCTACAATGTAATATTTGCACTTCCCCATCACTGATGTCCATAGTTTTGGGGGCCACAGAAATGCTAACCTTACAACAGGGAGAGATGGAGCCATTCAGCCTTTAGAACTCTGCTGCCATTTTTCTACTCATACATCATCTTCTCTTACACAAATGCATGAAGCATATAACAGAACATATGGTTGAGCTCAAACAGATTCTATGTACATAATTAAATGCTGGTGGGGAGACTGTACCCTGGAGACTTCCAGTTTAAAAAATATATAGAGATTAGTCTCATTGCCTATGGGAAATGGTGGTGACCACCAAATAGTGTAAACTGGTAGGAAAATTGGTTCAGGTTTATTTCCTCTTTGGATTTCCCCCCTGCATTCAGAGGCAAACATCCAATGCTTCTAGGTTTCTATAGTATCCATTCATATATTATGGTGTAGTTCAGAGGACTGACTTGTATTCTTTCCTCATTTATTCCTATGAGCCCCTCTTGCCAGATAGCAGACATTTACAGGCTATTCCCTGCTGAGCTTCCTTAGGGCCTGTCCATTAGTGTTGCTGGGAATAAGAAAAAGAACCCTTCTATACTGAGGCTTAAAAAACTCAGCTTCAGAATTGAAAGACTAAATGTGGAAACCAGCTGGTGATGAAAGAAACAGAGAGTGTGAAAGAGCCTGTCCTTTTAGAATAGCCTGTGTTACAAAAACGCTGCTTTTTAATTAAAGAATGATATTTGAACAAAAACCAACTTTCTCCTTGTGTACAGAAGACAGAGAAAGAAATATGCTCTGGAAATGAGGCTGGACAGACAATGGATTCTGAGATGAAGAAAAAATGTCTTATGTTAATTTTCTAATCACTGCTCAGCACATGAAAGACTATTTTTAAAATATAACACATTTTGATTAGACTGACCAAACCTTAGATTACCAGCATGATCTCTCAGTTCCAAATTTAACAGGGTGCTAGTGAAATAGATCCCTATGAAAGGAGTGACACAGTTACTTTTCAATCAAATAATTTAAATTGATTTTGTGGAGAAATAAATCCATTGCAGAGACAGGGACATAAAATCCTAATTCTTGTGGAAATCCTGTAGCTCATGCTTCAGCATCAAATGAAGAAAATGTCTTCTAGGATCCGACTCTCTTCCAGCTCTTCATATGGCCCACATGCCCTTGAGGCCTGGGTTAGCTTTCGGGGGCAGACCTGGACTGGGCTCTGATTCCAGGCAAAAGCTTCCCTTAAGAGAGGTGGCCGTGGTCTAGGAGCAGAGCTGGGACTCAAGGAATGGACCAAGTCCAGCAGGGTGGTATTGTACCTGTGAGGAAAAAACACATACAAATGCCCAAATCATTAGAATAGGCAAACTCTCCTTCCAGAGAAAGATGGGCTGCTTTGCGCAAGATCTGGCTCACGTACTGGGGAGATGGGCAGAGGAGCAACTGTGTGAAAGTAAAGAAACAAAAAAGGCTTTAAAAGCCTTTCTGAGTTTTTTCCTTCTGAATACCAGAATATCCCCTTTTTGCCTCAGAGATTTCAAACACTGAGCAACTTAATCTGAATACAGAAAGAAACTAAAGGGGAGACACCATTTTTCTGTCCAGCAATCTCATCAAGGGAGAGTTGACTGAAGTCAAAAGACCATACAGCTTGGAGGTCATGTCTCGGTCAATTACACAACCCTCTTAGCCTCTAATTTAAGGACAGGCTATATTCACCCCCAGAGTAGAATGGCTGTGAATCATACACCAATCTCCTCTTACTGTATGTCATAATAGGGTTTTTAGACTCCAAAAAAGCCTCATTTTGGCTAATAGCTGTAGCTTCTTCCTCCACCAAATCTTTGTTAGTGAACAAAAAGTGAGTGCTTATTCTGTACTTTGTATATTGATGGTTATCAAGAAATAAATGTAGAATGAATGAAATCAGTGAAAAAGAGGCAGTAAGAAGAAGTGATAATCTTGGAAAATCAATTAGGTAATCAACCAGTCCCTAGATGCTGTTATTTCCTATGTACAATTCAGCCTAGTAGTCAATACCTTTTGTAATTTGATTACATCCCATTTTCTTCAGTTTTCTTTTCAAACATTCCCCTATACTTCCTGATCCTATGCTCTAATGAAACTGGACTTTTGGTCATTTCTTTAACATACCTTGTCCTTTTTCACTTTCATATCTTGGTTCATGTTATCCTCTATTTCTCATTCTCATGGAATGTCCTTTCCTTTCCCTAAATTTTATGCTGTTGAAAATCTTACCTGACCCATCCTTCAAGATGCAACTCAAATGTGGCTACCTCCTCTACGAAGCTTTCCCTTAACCCACAGAACTCCAATAATACTATGAGCTACACTTAGAGCCCTTAGTATATGCTGCCTTTTATTATAATTATTTGTGTACCAAGTCTTACCTCCAGAACTAGACTCTAAATTTCCAGAGGTCAGGGATTTGAACTTCTTTGTTATCCCTGTTGCTTGAGAAAGGGGCCTAGCAAATATTTCTTAGGAGAATTACTGAAAATGAATGACAATAGTAAAGAAGGCCATAGGGATATGGGTCTTTGAAAGATTATGTGTGGAAAAGAGTTAGGGGTATAGGAGGAGACAGAGAGGAATAACCAGGAGAAGAGGTAAAAATAAGAAGAGAAAGAGCCCCCAGTTTAATATGTGCCCACTGTTGGCCACTGCTACCTTCTCTCAGGAAAGGCATATAGAATAGAGTTTTACACAGCCCCTGTGTATATCCTACAGCTGTCCTCAAACAGACCCACCTGACTTTGAAGGGGTGGGAAGAGTCTGGGTGGAGAGGTTGGATACAATTGCATCTGAGCCCACTGGCAAGGGGAGCAGCAAAGGTCAGTTAAATACATTAGGAACCTGGAAATAGTGGCTGTAGGGAGGTTGGAGGATTGGTTTGTATCCACACATCAATGTTGGGTTAGGATAGGGGCTAATAACTAGTAGTTCATGGAACTTTTTAAATACATATCTAGAACCCTCATTCAAAATAAATCAAAGAATCTTTCTCTGTGTTGATTCTTCTCATTAATACACATTATGCATTAGGAATAGGTGCAGACTCTCCTGTTTCCTACACACTCTTCCTAGAGCACAGAGCCCCCATTGGGGCTTTCTTTCCTTAGTCATTGTTCCTATTTAGCAACTTTTGCCTCACTTACTACTACTATAATCCTGTATCCTTCCACCCCTACTCCCCTATCTGCCCCTTACTTTCTTCCAAGGTTTTTCCTACCTTCCAAGGCAAATCTGGACTTCTAATGTGCAAATGACAGAATGCTATGGGAGGTATTTAGGGTGTTCCCTCTAACCCTCCTAGGCTATACATGTGTATTATAAAGGTCTTCTGAGGGAATAATAAGAACTTGGCCTTCCTATTGCTGTATACCAACTTGCACGAAATAATGAAAATGTATAAATCAAGAAACATATGGTGAATGTAAAGTTTCAGACATCATGTGTCTCAACAGAAAATTTTAAGATCATAAAAGATGACCTTTCTCTCTTAAAAGGCTACTGACTCTGGGTTAGGGAACAACATTCATAACAATAACTCACACCTCCTTACTACATGTATGACTTTGAGCAAGTCACTTTATTTCTCTGGGCCTCTGTTTTCTAATCTGTAAAGTGAAGGAGTTAGAGTAGATGGTCTGTTTTTCAGGTCCCTTCCAACTATAACTTTAAGATCTTATTACACAGTGCTTTAAGATACACAAAAGAGTTTTCTGAGCAACAGACTTTTAAGTGTATAGTATCTCTCGTCCCCCTCCCCCCATATCCTCTCATTCTTATGCTCTTCAGCTGAACATCATCTAATCAGAATATGGTAGCTGTAGTATACTACACTGATGTGACCCTCAAGTCATGCCCCTCCTCTTTCCCAAAGAGTTATGAGCCCAGCTCACAATATTCCTCTTCTTCCCAACTCCTGTCCCTATGTAAGAATAACAGTCATGTTGATACTTCTTCAAACTCCTGCGCCTCCAATTTCTTCCACCTCCTCAAGCACTACTCCTTTATTCCACTTTACAACACATAAGGATGGTAATACACTAGAACTTGCCATCACTCAGAAGCATTTGCACTTCTGTAACTAGAAACTTCGACATTCCCTATCTGCCCTCATTCTTCTCTCCTCCTCCCTCTCCCTGTGCTTTACCCCACTTATACCTGAAATTTGCCCCCATCCAAACTCCCATTTCCTCTACCTTTCTGTACTTTCTCAGGTCATTACTTTTGCTCTAGTTTCACTCTCCCCTCCTTCCATTCCTCCCCCTCCCCCAAGCTTCAATCTCACATCACATATTGCCACTGGACATATTCAAACCAGATATCCTTAACTCAATAGTGAATAATTTCAACCTTACCCTATCATCTGCTCTTGAATTCCTTGCTCCTTTGTCCTATCATCACTCTTCTCTTGCCAACTCTCAGCCCTTTATTACCCCCATCATTTGCCTCATTTGTTTCTATTCATGAATTGTTGAATGAAGCTAGAAAAAAGTTTCACAACCATGCTGACTGGGTATACTTTAAATTTGTGTTTTCCAACCTGGTCTAGGCCCTCACTGAAGCAAGGCATTCTTTTTATTCATTCCTAATTGATTCCATAACTCCTCACAGAAACTATTCCAAACCCTTTCTTCCCTCTTCAAGATTCTTCCACCCCACCCCCACTTCCTTACCTGAGGACCTTGTCTCTTATTTTACTGAAAAAAATCAAGGCTATTTGTCACAATCTCCCTCTTTTCCCATTATCTTCATCTCCAGTGCCACTACCTTCCACTTTCTCTTTTTTTTCTTCAGTCTTTGACAAAGACTTCATGATCCTTCATGCCACGGCTACGCCTTTACACATGAACCTGATCTTCTTTCGTCCCTTCCCATCCAGCAGACTATATCCTCAATAATCCCCATTTTCTCTTGAGTCTTCAACTTCTTCCTATTAATTGGTTTCTTTCCTACTCCCCTCAAATATGAGGGCCCTTTCTCAGCAAAACTTGTTGAAAAAGCTGCCTAATTCCAAAGGACCCATAATGAAAAATGCTATCCACCTCCAGAAAGAAAGAACTGGTAAACTCTGAATGCACACTATAGTATACTTTTTTAAAAAAGAAAACATTATTTTGTGTACCAAGTCTTATCTCCAGAACTAGACTCTAAATTTCCAGAGGTCAGGGATTTGAACTTCTTTGTTATCCCTGTTGCTTGAGAAAGGGGCCCAGCCACTATTTCCAGGTTCCTAATGTATTTAACTGACCTTTGCTGCTCCCCTTGTCAGTGGGCTCAGATGCAATTGTATCCAACCTCTCCACCCAGACTCTTCCCATCCCTTCAAAGTCAGGTGGGTCTGTTTGAGGACAGCTGTAGGATATACACAGGGGCTGTGTATGACTCTGTGTGTATATTTTCTTTTGCAACATAGCTAATATAAAAATGTGTTTTGCCTGGCTTCACACGCATAACTGATATAAGTATTGCTTGCCTCCTCAAGGGGCAGGGAAGGGATGGGAAGAGAATTTGGAACTCAAAAGTTTAAAAAAATGAAGCTTAAAATTCTTTTACATATAATTGGGAAATATTAAATTAAATAAATAAAAATATTTTTTTTCCACTCCAATTTTTTTAAATATTATTAATTTATTTTGATTTATCAACAATCACTTCCATATGCTTTTGAGTTGAAAATTTTTCTCCCCCTTCCTCCCCCCCACCCTCCCCAAGAGGGCACACAATCTGATATAGGCTTTACATTTACATTCCTATTAAACATATTTTCACATTAGTGAAGTTGTAAGTAAAAATTAAAACCAATAGGAGGAACCATCAGAAAGATGAAACAAAACTCAACAGAAGGTAAAAATAAGTGATAGCAATTCGACTTCCATAGTTCTTTCTTTGGATGTGGACAGCATTTTCCATCCCAAGGCCTCTGGAGATGTCTTAGATCCTTGTAATGCTGAGAAGGGTTCAGTTTAACAATATTAGTCATCACATAATGTGGCTGTTATTGTGTACAAAGTCTTCTTGGTTCTGCTCACTTCACTTAGCATCAGACCATGTAAGTCTTTCCATGTTTTTCTGAAGTCAGCCTGTTCATCATTTCTTATAGCACAATAGTATTCCATTACATTCATATACCACAACTTGCTCAGCCATTCCCCAATTGATGGGCATCCTCTCAATTTCCAATTCTTTGCCACCACAAAAAGAGCTGCTATGAATATTTTTGTACATGTGGGTCCTTTTCCCAATATAAAAATATATTTTAAAAAGAAGAAAAAGCTGTCCACACTGG